TTTTTTTTTTTTTTTGGTAGAACAGGTTTTATAATTTTTCAATCTAACATGGTGTGATAAATATTTTACAAGTAATAGCTTACAAGTGTAGTTGTTTTTCATCAAGAATTTTGTTCCACTCTAGAAAACGGATTTGACACATGCTATTTTTATGTATATTTTCTTATTATATATATGTTGTACATGGATGCAATAAACACTACGTTTATATTATTGAGGGCATTATGTCAATTTAGGAGATGAATAAAAACAGCAAGCAGAAGTGTTGGGCCGTGGGTGTGGAAGAAATCTGTTAATAAAAGAAAGAGAGGGAGAGAGAGGTGAGGAAGGAACGCAAAGCTAGGGGAATTTGTAATATCCTCTCCCTCCCTATCCACCTATATTACTCTCACAATCCCAATTTAGGGTTTGTAAAACTTAATATGACAATAGGGTGTAGATGAGTAATCTGACAATAGGGTGTAGATGAGTTTGTGTTTTTCTAAAACTTAATATGAAGAGTGGTGGGGTGTGTATATAAATGTATTAAGATTAAGTACTAAGTTGGATGACCTTTTTTGTCTTTTTACTCAATAATAAAACTTAAGAGCTTAATGATTTAAGTATTGGAATGAACAAAGAAAAGTGTGAGGTTTAAATAGAAAAATTCTTTATTTTTTTCATTAAATGAGCTGTTTATTTTTCTTAGATTAACACTCTGGATATTATTTCTAATGAATCAGAGCCCTTTTTCTTTTGGTAAATGAAAAATCAGAACCTTTCTATGTTTCCATGTATGGGAAGCATTTATTGCTGACATCAATACTAATAGTTTCTCTGAATTTAACTTGGGCTGAAATTCTATGTATCTTCATTTTGAAGAGGCAAATTAAGCATCTGATCCATTTGACACATGTTGCATATACTGACCCTTACCGCAGTCAGCAACAAATAACTTTTGTTCATGCGTTTTGTAATGATATAATCAACCCTTTCTTTATTCATTTATCAAATATACACTGATACATACGCGTATATATAATATCATATATATACAATTACAGAGGACCAGGAGCTTGGATGTTGCAGTTTGTGTAGGAACAGTCTTGCATGCAACTTCCCATTTTCTCTTTATCTGTCAAGAAAAAACTGAATCATTTTTATGAGAGAGAGAGAGAGTTAAATTAAGAACTATATAGATAAAGAGTCAGAGGGTACTGTGGGAACCGAATTAAATCAGAACCCTAGGTCAAATAATTCCTTTCATTTGGGGATAATTTGACCTAATTGGGAATTACTAAACCTGATTGGAAGTTTCTCAATTTAATTGGGAGTTATCCAATTAAATTGAGAAATACCTAATTAAGTTAAAAACTGATTTGATTCCTACCACAATTCCCAATTAAATGAGGAGTTACCTAATCAAACTGGGAATTGATCGGATACCTACCACAATTAGGGATTTGATTTAAATCCCTAATTAATCAAATCCTTAAATATACCGACCTCACCAACCCCACCAACCACACCAACCTCACCAACCTCATCAAGGCCCCCTATTAATACTTGGCCACGCACAAGGAATGAGGTACGTCAGAATTACTACTAAAACTCTGCATAGAATATTCCTCACAAATTCTAGCCACCTCCTCTCTCTCTCTCTCTCTTTTACATAAGGCTCCGGCCGCCCAATTTACACCTTTCATATATATCTCCGTACCCTATTTAGCTATTGATTTTTTCCTAAATCAATTGAACTAACTTAGGCATCGGAGGGCCTTTGGCCAACACCCCCCGGGTGTGGTCCTCTTATCCGATTTAGTTTGCAGGGAGAAAGAGGCGGCGAAGAAGAAAGGGGGAATCTTTCCAATCGAATATTCTTGTGGGGAAATTTGCTCCCACAAATTGGTGCTTTCATTGAGAGTGCGAAATAATACTCAAAGCGTGCTCCAAATCCATTTTCCAATCCACCGAAGCCTTCCAAACAACCATGGTTGGAAGCAGGAAGACGACGGGCAAAACCGCCGAGATGGCTCGATTCCCGACGGCTCAAAGCCACTCCATCCATGATCCGGCGATCGACATGGTGGCACCACCACCGCTCACTACCGTGCCACCTACCGGACTTGCAGTTCAGACCACCGCCGTCGCCATGTCAACCCAAGGCCCTGTGGCCGGATCTAGCCACCTTCATGGCGCCACCGCCGAGCATGGCGGAACCTCCCATCAGGGTGGGCTCATTGCCGCCAACTTGGGCCCGATCTTGGAACAACTTCAAGCGTTCCCTCCATTGCCTCCACGCTCGACACACGCTCCCGGGTACACCTCCCATGAAACCCTAGCCCGTATGCAGCTGGGCTCCACACACTTCTCTCCTCCCGATCCACGAAGTCAAGCAGACCTTAATCTGAGAGTTGACCAACTAGCTCAGAGAATGGACGACCAAAGCAATTTAATGAGGCATCTCCTCAACCAAATCAATTTGGTTCAAAACCTTGGCCTTGGACAACCGGGCGAAGAGAGAAGGATGGACAAACGCGCCGATAGGTAGCTCGATGGGTACCAAGCAGGTCAAGCAGGAGTAAGTAATCTGACAAGAGGGACAACAACGTGATCAGCTTGCCAACATGTCACAAGCATCCGCAAGCCACACTCAGAGCAATGTGCGAGAAAGGCTCGGTCCACGACTAGACATCCGCGCCCTTCTGGGCCCGCAGGGAAACGTTCTTCAAAGGCTAGGCTCCCAGGGAAGTCAACCTAACAACCATCGCAATGTGGATTATGAAGAAAGGCGCTCCGCTGCCCACTCGCAGAGGAACATTCACGAAAGGCTAGGCTCCCAAGGACGTCAACCTGACAACCATCGCAATATGGATCATGAGGAAAGGCACTTCGTTGCACAGTCTCAAAGAGTATATTCTCGTCGACAAGCTACAAAAAATCCTTCGCAGGCACAGTCCACCAATACGTCGCCTAGGCAGCACAGCTGAGAATGTCGAACCTTGCGAGTCAATGAGGAAGTTAATCAGCGTCGCCCAAGTCGCGAGGGTCGCCAACGTGACCAACCAGCAATGCATGCGGAAGACGTTGAGAAACTTGTGAATGACCGACTTCGAGACTTGAACATCGGCGGGAACTTCGAAGATGCACTACGCAAGGAGATGGACCAGGCAAACTCTATGCCTTTCACCGCCGAGATTGAGTTTACCCACTTCAAAGGGGACTCCGATCCCGAAAGCCACCTAAAATACTTCAAAAGTGTCATGATCCTTCACAAGACCGACGACGCATTGATGTGCAAGGTGTTTGTAATGACCTTGCGAGGAGCAGCCCAAGACTGGTTCCACACTCTACCATCCGGGTCAATCAGCAGCTTCAAGGAGCTGGCATACGTCTTCACCAAAGAATACACGTCTTACCGAACAATCAAGAAGAACCCTGACCACCTGTTCAACCTACGCAAGAAGTCCGACGAATCCCTTCGAGACTACATGAAGAGATTCAAAACAGAAAAGGCCAACATTGTAGGATGTGACGATCGGATCGCGTCCTCTTCTTTCAAGAAAGGCCTTCCAGCTGAACACGACTTATACCGCGAGCTGACTATCGCTCCCAGCCAAACTCTGGCAGAGGTCTTCGCGACCGCGGAACGCTATGCGCTCTGGGATGATGATCGAATCGCCGCAAAGAAGTCTACTAAGCAGGAAGATCAGCCGTCTAAGCGGGCAGGCCAAAGAAGCGACGGGTTTAGCAACAAAAACAAGGACAAAAGCAGGTCACACCCATAAGAGGACGCTACGGCAGGAGAGAACTACACAAAGTTCTCCATCCCCATACATCAAATCTTAGCCCAAGTGAAAGACAAACCTTGGGTAAGAAGACCGCCACCCTTGAAGGGAGATCCGGACAAGAGGGATACCAGAAAATACTGTGCCTTCCATGGGACGAACTGGCACACTACAAACAATTGCTTTGCTTGGAAGACGCATCTTGAAGAACTCATGTGAGAAGGTCACTGCACGGAATTCATTGCGAAGCAGGCCATCTAGCAGATTGAAGATCGCGACACCGCCAAGGAGCCACCTCAGAAGGTCATAAGGATTAACACAATCCTAGCCGACTCCGAGGAGTCTGGGCTGACAAGCAAAGAAAAGAAGAGGAAGATCAAACATGACACTATGATCTCCCAAATCACGACCGACCTTCCACCAACGGAAGACGACCCTGTGATCGGCTTCCAGAAGAAAGACTTGATCGGCCTTGACATGCCACATAACGACGCCTTTGTCATTAGCATTCAAATTGCTCAAGTCATGGTCGACCGAATCCATGCAGACAAGGGCAGCACAGCTAATATCCTACAGCTGGCAGTCATCCTGCAGATGGGATTGGAAGCGAAGATCAACAAATCAGCCAGATCGCTGACTGGCTTTAATGGTGCAATAATGGTTACCGTGGGCACGATAGACCTCGACGTCTACTACCCACCTGTAATCAGCTCACAAACATTCATGGTCATTAATGAGGTTTCACCATACAACGGCATTCTGGGCAAACCATGGATCGGTAAGATCAATGCCATCACCTCTGCCACACATCAGAAAATCCGCTACCCAATCCCTGGGGGCGGTGTCGGTCAAATCAACAGCGATCAGGCAATGGCGAGGAAATGCTCAACCCAAGGGCTGAAGAAAAGCAAGCAAACGCAATTCCTCCCTGTAAGTCAGGCATATCTGGAGGAAGTTGAACAACCGAATCTCGCTCCCTTATAGCAATTAAAGCGTCAGGACCAAGTCGAGGAAATTCGTCCAGAGGTCTCTCCTGAAGAAAGATGGAAACCTGAAGAGGACGTCAAGCTAATACCCTTGGATCCTAACCAGCCAAACAGAAAAGCGCGGATCGGCTCGCGCCTAAGCCCAGACGAGAAGGTGGAGCTGACCACCTTCCTCTAGAACAACAAGGACATGTTTGCATGGTCGCTGTCTAATGATTTAAGGAAATAACCATTGCATCAGATTTGGTTCTTTGTAACTCATAAAATCTCAAGTGCTGCTGGATTTGCTAGTTATTGTGAATTTCTTGGATTTTCCTTAATTAATGCAGGTCAATTTCAACTAGTTTCTTTCATTTTTCATTCAATTTTTCTAGTGTGGACAAATGTTCTTCTTAACTCAAAGATTCGGCCTTAAGATGCTCCTTAATTGCAAAGGGGCTTGTAGCTGAAGTGGTAAAGAACAGTTATCCATGCATCCGAGATCCTGTGTTTGCTTGTTATTGCGAACCATTTATCTTTAGTGTTTTCTTTAATTAATGCAAGTCAATTTCAACTGTCTTCTTTATATTGTTCAGTATTTCTACAAAAAATCTCAACTTTTATCTTTACTAGTTATTGCTTATTGGTCCAATATATAGTCAACTATCCTTAAGATTTTCCATTAATTAATCCAAGCCAATGTCAACTATAGTTTCTTTTATTTTACTTTAAGGTTGGGAGCTTAGTCACCGTCATATCATGCAACAGAAATTCAAAGTACATAAAGGTATGGCTGCTAGAAACTCCAACAGAGTGACCATTATGTTGCTGGCAACATTTGCTCTACTTTTTTATGGAGATATTGCAGTTCAAGGATGGGGAAGGTTATCAAAAGATGAAGACTTGGAGCTGGATACACAGCTTAACCTTATCAATAAACTTCCAATCAAGAGTTTCAGGGTAATTAAACTCTCTTTTAAATTATCAAAACAGTACCAGTTGAGACAGTTTTAGTTTGTTGAACTCATCTTTGGCATTTTTTCACTTTTCCCACCAACAGACTGGATATGGTGATATTGTAGATTGCATTGATATCTACAAACAACTTGCTTTCGATCATCCTCTGCTCAAGAATCATACAATCCAGGTTACGTGTTTGCTTCAGTATCACGCGCACGAGTGATTGACAATTGTTGATTGGTGTGTACTTCAGACCAATAATTAATAGTTTAAAATCACTCACGTGTTTGTGGGCAACTGACGCTATCAAAGCTCTTCATACAATACCGTTTAGTAATGTATATTCACATTTATATATATTGGTTCAAATTGTTCAATGCAGATAAAACCTACAAAGGTGATAAGAGGGAATGGAAATGAAGAATTGAAAACGTTTAAATATTCACAATATGTGCCTAGGAACCTACATTGCCCACAAGGATCAGTGCCCATGAGAAGGACAACAAAGGAAGATCTAATAATGGCAAAACATATGAAGTCTTCGGGACTAAACTACCCAATTACTTTACTCACAGGCGCAGCCCCAATAAGATTGACATAAGGGGCCATCATGTAAGTACAACTTTCTCATAAATAAGAAGACCATCATCTTAATTAGCATAACAATTAGCAAGGGGCGCCATGTAGCTCAAGTGGTTAAGAGCATTTACCATGCATAGGTTCTAGATTCGGTTTCCCCTTTCCTTAATATCGCTTGTATCAGAAGAAAAAAAAAAAGCATCCCAATTAAAGTACTAGCTAGTTGATATCGTATTTGGAATGAATTAGTCTTTCTTTTTACAATTGAATTGATTAATTCATAAAATAATTGGTTTGGTTTTTTTTACTTATTTCCTCAAATCATCAGGCTGCAATGCTAGAGTGTAGAAACTCAATTTATGGAGGCAGAAGACGCATTAATATTTGGAACCCCAGTGTTCCACAAACTCAATTTAGCCTTTCAAGCATGGCTCTTGCAAATTGGTCTAGGGAGCAGCATAACACTATACAAGCTGGTTGGATAGTAAGCATCTGCTGTAAACACCTTTTTATGATAAAATTGCACATTAATTACATTACAATTATATAAAATTAATTATTTTTAATCTTTCAGGTTAATCTAAATCTATATCCCTTTGGCAGCCGACTTTATACTTTTTGGACTGTAAGTCTGTAATTTCAAGTCTCAGCTTTGCATTTTCTTTTCATTTATTTATAAATTTTGGAAAACCATGTATATTGCAGGCAGATGGTTACCACAAGACTGATTGTTTCAATATTCTATGTCCAGGATTTGTGCAAGTTAGCTCTGATATACCCCTTGGCTTCAAGCTACCAACTTCTACTTACAGGGGTAAACAATATGACATGCTGCTCAGTTTACATCAGGTGCCCATCCCTCTACTAATTTTACTGCCAATATAATGTGTGTCTCATTTGTATAAAAGACATAGATGATAGTAATCGTTAGTAAATGTGGTAGAAATAGATACTGATTATGTGCGAGGTGTGATAAAAAATGCGATCAGTTTTATTACTTTATATCAAAGTCTTAGAACAAGCAACTAGCACTTTGATTAAAAAGATAAAAGAGTTTTGCTAGAAACAGTCGCTTGCCTGCGTGGGAAACTAGACGACTGTCCTTAACTTTTCTTGAAAGACGACTTCCAAACGTTGATGTTATTTCAATGAATCACTTCCCTTCAACCTAATGTGTGTAACTCTTTCATGACAATATAGGATCGTCATACAAAGAATTGGTGGCTCATGTTTGAAGATAAATATGTTGGTTACTGGCCAAAAGAAATATTCAGCTTCTCTTCTGTCAGGGGGAAGAGAGATTTGCAGCAAAGTAACAGAACTAAGCCCTCCAATGGGAAGTGGTCATTTTCCAGAAGAAGGCTATCGGAAGTCTGCTTATATCCGTCAGATTAAAGTCGTTACTGATCGATCACAAGATTATGTTGATCCTGAAGATGATGATCTCAAAATGTACATTGATAAACCTTATTGCTATAATGCTAGACATGATGTGGGCCAGGCTGCGTGAGGCCATCATGTATATTTTGGTGGGCCAGGGAATTGTACATTTTAGTGAAGGGAGCTGATTTTCTCACTCCCCTTTTCTCCACTTGCACTCCCTTTTGCTTTTTAATGATTTTTCATCAATTTTTTCTTTTTTGTTCTTTCTCTTTCCTATTCTACCCTTACCCTAAATTAATGTTTTGATAATTAAAATTAAGAAAAGTTAACAGAAAATAAAACCAAAAAAATAAAAAAGAAGTCAGAGCGTCTTCTTTAGAGCTTCTTCTTCTATTTTGATACCTAAACCCTCTTCTTCTCCTTCATCGTGTCTTTCCCACTTCTCATACCCAGAGCTACTCTCAGAGCCAGTCATGGAATAGAACAATCCTTCTCCTACCCAAGGCAAATACTCTTAATTATTGGCGAAAGGTTAGCTATGGATGAAGAACAAAAATTAGAGTCTGAGTTGCAGAGGATTTTAGACATGGTGGGCAACAGTGATTTGAGTGGAATGCCAGAATTTAGTAATCCTTCAAATTCTCAAGATATTGTGCATGGTACGTTTTATTTCTTACTTAATCTAACTTTATTGATTATTAGCAGTGAATTAGCATATTGGTTTTATGTATGTGTGTGTATCTTTATGTTTAACCTTTTCATAACGTATTTGTTAACCTTGTGGGGAGATGCTGAGCATTGATGGTTTACATCTGTGTCCAAAAGGAAGCTTTTTGAACTCTAGAAGATGTTTCTGTATTAAAAAGAAATTCACTTTGCTGAGCATTACCTGTTATCTTATTCATAGGTTGAGTTTTACGAAATACTTGGTGCTCTGATGAATTGCAATTCAATTTTGATGGTTTTTTTTAGGGAGCTGATTTTCTTTTGCCCGCTTATCTTCTCATGTGCACACATAGACAAGTTTAAATTAGTGGTACTGCTATCTCTTTATTTTTGCCCTTGGGTAGAGGTCGTGGTGACCTGCTGGTGCGATCCTTTGGAGGCGCCTACCGGCTGCTTGACGAAATGTCTCATAGTAGTACCTCTTCTGTCATATATATTCATTCTTAACTAATATGTGACAGGCAGTGAAGCATAAACATTCTTCATAGCTGTAGCCAATGTGTAGTTTATGTTTTATATAAATTGGATGGTTTGTGATATAGGCAGTGAAGCATCGATTGATAAAAGTGACAAAATGCTCTCTTTGACAAACAAAAATTTTCGAAGTCGGGAAGACCTCATTGAAGCTGCTCGTAAGATTGCCTTTGTGCAAGGGTATGCACTGGTTATTAGAAGATCTAAATATGAGAAATATGTTGTCCTTGGTTGTGATAGAGGCGGTAATTATAAAAGTAGAAGAGTTCCACTAGAGGAAAGAAAAAAGAAATCAGCATCTCGCCTCATAAACTGTCCATTTGAAATTTGGGGCAAAAAGAAAAGGAAACTTCAAGGATTTTGGAAGTTGGAGATTAAAAGTTTGTTGCATAATCATGAACCTTCAACGGACATGTCTGGACATCCCTATTGTCGTCGATTTTCAAATGAGGAAATTATGCGGATTAAAGAGATGAGTATGGCTGGTATACCACCACGCCAAATTCTCTCTTCACTTCGACAGAGCAATCCTCATCTTCTAGCAATTTCCCGAAACATTTACAATAAGAAGGCTAAAATTTTGGAGGAGAGCCTAGCAGGACGTACGGTTATTCAAGCATTATTGGATGAACTTGGTGGAGGTGGTTTCTCTTATAACATTGAGTATGACCAAGAAGGGCATTTGACTCATTTGTTCTTTGCTCATCCTATGTCAATTGAATTGAGTAAGAGTTACCCACATGTCTTTTTGATGGATTGCACTTATAAAACTAATAAGTATAAGATGCCATTATTTTTTTTTAATCAAGTATGTGAGTACTATTTATCTTTGTTGTAGTTAATAGATAATAATTTTTTTCAGCTAACATATTTACAGGTAGAAGAACCAAAGAATGTTACTAACCAAATTGTCATTAGGAGCTTAGATATGCAAAGAGCAAGGTACTTCTTATGCATATTAGTCTCAGATTTTTATTCTTTCATAATTTTCAAAGTAATTGTACATGTCTTCTTATTAAAGGGAATTGTATCTCATCAAATTTTATAGTAGTAAATAATATTATGAGAGATCAATTAGTTTGTTAATTAATTAGTCTTCTTTCTTGTAGGTATTTTGAAGTGGATGGATGGATTCATCCTTATTTCACATGTCTGTTTTTAACACAAGGAAGAAGTGTTGTATGGAATGATACTGTTTGGTTAATGGAGCTAAATTATCTTTTTTGTGGTTATAGCTTTTCTCTGCGCTTGTATGGAATGATATAGTTTGGTTAATGAAGCTAAATTTTTGGCAACCACGATGGTTTTGTCTATACTTTTTGGTTGTTGCTCTTGTTGCTATCTCTATTTAGCTATCTTTTCTGGCTTTCAATGAAGTTTCAGCTATTGACCAAAAAAAGAACATGCCAATGGAGCTAAGTATTTTGCTTTCTTTTATTTCCCATGTTATCTGAACAACCCAATGAAGCATCTAAGTAAATATTTGTATTTTGTTCTCGAATGGATACATAGGATTAAAATTGTTCAGTGGAGTTCTTCCGATCACTATTTCCTAGTTCAAGAGTGGGAGATGCCAGATGCAAATGGATCACTAAAGAAATATTTTGCCTATTCACCCAAAAAAAAAAAAAAAAAAATCCCTATGGTTGCAAGGTTTATTCGTGGGCATGTGTTTTTTTAACAGGTGGACCATATAATTTTGCCTAGACAACTATACAGTGTTAATTATTTCTTACTTGATGAAAGGAAAAATATAATTTTGCAAGTTGAAAAATTAAGTATAAAGGAAAAGAAATGATATAAAAGTGAAGTAAAAAGAAATAAAGTAGGGTAAGGGTAGAATAGGAAAGAAAAAGAACAAAAAAGAAAAAATTGATGAAAAATAATTAAAAAGCAAAAGGGAGTGCAAGTGGAGAAAAGGGGAGTGGGAAAATCAGCTCCCTTTAGTGAATCCTTGCTTCTTTGTCATAGGAATAAGTTGAATAGTTTTTCTGATTTGAATGTAATATTTTCTGCTCAAAAGTAAAAGTTTGATCTCAAAGAAGAAATCCAAGTGTTGAACAACATTGATTTTTTGTTTACCTTTTATTTTTTATTTTTTTCCCAAATTATTCTTCCTCGAGATATGGGAAAACAACTTGTGGTACTAAATTCAATATCCATTGACAACAGGGTCTAACTTAGTGGAAAAGAGCATTGACTTGCATACCAATGATCTCAAGTTCGAATCTCCATGACATTTTGGTAGTGTGTGTGTGAGAAACCCCCCTCTGAAAATGTTGTTTTCTTTTAATGTAGCAATGTGGGATAATAAAAATATTTGTAAAATTCAACACAAGATCTTGAATCCATGCATAATGCTCTTGCATTTTAAGAGTGGGGATTTAAAACCCCAAAAGAAACAAACGTTAGGCCCCAAATAGATCTGGGCCAAGCTACACCAGCGAGGTCTCTCAAGGGAAGAGCTTCAATTTCAAGGACAATACAGCCCAAACTAAGGTCAAAGCTTAGACCAGACAGTACAACAACTTACTAGTTTTCATTTTTCTATCTATTATGTTTAGACTAAAAAAAATCTTACATCTATTAAGCAAAAAGATTTGCTACATTAAAAGCCGATCTTTTTCTATCTATTATGTTTAGGCTGCCTCGGTTGCCTCAGGTTTTAAGAAGCCGAGGGTTTCTTGATATAGTTAGGCCTAGTTTGGGATTGTTGTCACTTTTAAAAAAAGTTACTTCTGCTGTGCTTTGAAAATAATTAGTTGTAAAGTAAAGCAGCTTCATGTTTGGTAAACAATATTTTTAAAGTGCTGTTAGTACAAAAAGCAATGTAAAAAGCGTTTGGTAAATTTTAATATAAAATTGTTGTAACTGTGAATAACGACTAAAATAGACGTGATGTTAAAAGTGTTATGTACTAATCATGTGGTGGTAGTTGCGGTGATGGAGTGGAGGTGGTGGTGGTGATGAAGGTGGAGTTGGTGATGGTGGTGGTGTTGGTTGTGGAGGTGGTGGTGGATTTGGAGGTTTTGGAGGAGGTGGTGGTTGTGGTGGTGGTGGTGGTGGTGGAGGATGAGGAGGAAGAGGATGCGGTGGCGGTGGTTGTGGAGGTAGTGAATGTGGTGGTGCAAGTGGTGGAGTCGGATGTGAAAGTGGAGGTGGTGTCATTTTTAAAAATGAATGATGGTATTTTGGGAATTAAAAAAATTCAGTAAATGTTCATCTCTACTTCTTTTGAAAGCAGCTTTGAAAAGCAACCCAGAGCCTGCTTTTAAAAGCTGCTGTCAAAAGGCCATTGCTTTTAAAATAATCGGGATATTTTCTTTTTACCAAATACCTTAAACTGCTTAACTTTAAAGTGAAGCAGGTTTTTGGCGAAAAAAAGCAATCCCAAATGGAGCCTTAGTTAAGTCTCAATAATGTTATTTGTATTACATTTACTTATTATTTTGTCGACAATCGATCTCTCGAATAGAGCTACTTACTCTTAAAATACACCATTTCCGAATCAAAGACTCAATGACACTTTTTATAGGACTCATTGTGTATACACTAATTATTAAGGCGGGTGCATAAGTTAAATATGGACAGATATTGTTCATTGAAAACACTGGCATTGTTAGGATTTTTTTAAATTGATGTAGAACCAATTTAATAGAGATACAAAGAGGAATTTTTATCCCCAAAGTAATGGGAAAAGCATACCCAAGTTCGTTGGAAAAGCATATATACATAAAAATACCATACGGGTATAACACGAATAAAATATGTACTTTTATTATTTGAAAATTTTCCTAAAAATACATGGTGAAAAATTTAGCTATTATGTAAAAAATTCATTTATGTATTTTAATTTTGTTATTTGTAGTCAATTTTTAATAAAACGTGAAAAAATACAAATAAAATATGAGAATAATACATCTATTATTGTAAAATATTCAAAAATATATATATTTGTGAAAAATATGTGCGTGTAATTAATTAGTATTTATTAAGTAATTTCTGGAATTAATTAAAATACATCAATACTAATTATTCATTAAATAAATAATAATTAATATAATTAAATAAGACTAAGATATTACCTAATTACTTAATTATTTAAATATTAATATATTTTTAAAAGTATTACAATATTCAGGTATATTTGAAGAGTACAGCCGCGCGGCGATACTTTTTTATTTTGATATATTTTAAACGTATAGCCGCGCGGCTATACTATATAAAATTAAAATATTGAAATATACTTAATAGACTTCACATATTAAAATATATGTCTATAATATACGAATACCAAATATGTGTATATAATATACATATATGAAAATTATGAATTTTTTTCCATATTTTTAGATGGGTGTGGGATGGGAAATTTACATACTTGCGCATATAATATGCAAATTTACTACATTCCAAAAAATGTGTTTCCAAAACATGAAAAATGCAATTTCATAGACGAAAAAAGTAGGCCCACTTCCCGCCAAACCTTGCAAAAACCTTAAACCCTACCCTCCAATGTAAAGCACAGCCACTCACACTCAAACCCCAAAAACCCTCACCTCCCCGTAAACCCTAGCCACCACCACTAAAACCCCATGGACCCAAAAGCCGTGAAATCGGAGCTCGTCCTGATTCTCGATTATGGCTCCCAATACACCCACCTCATCACCCGTCGAATTCGATCCCTCTCCGTCTTCTCCCTCTGCATCTCCGGCACTAGCTCTCTTAAATCCATCACCGACCTCAACCCTAAGGTCGTCATCCTCTCCGGCGGGCCCCACTCGGTCCACACCCCAGACTCACCGAGCTTCCCAGCCGGATTCGTCGAGTGGGCCGAGGCCAATGGAGTCTTTGTCCTCGGTGTGTGCTATGGGCTTCAGCTGATAGTGCAGAGGCTTGGCGGGGAAGTTAGGGTTGGGGAGAAGCAGGAGTATGGGAGGATGGAGATTGAGGTGGAGATAAATTCTGGACTTTTTGGGTCCAAGAAAGTTGGGGATAAGCAGGTGGTTTGGATGAGCCATGGCGATGAGGTGGCGAAACTGCCTGATGGTTTCGAGGTCGTGGCGCGGAGCCAGCAGGGATCGGTGGCTGCAATTGAAAGTCCGATTAGGAGGTTCTATGGGTTGCAATACCACCCGGAGGTAATTGGGTTTGGTTTGGATTTTTGGATAACTGGATGTGGGTTTTATTAAATTTGGTGTCTGATGTTGCTTATTAGTGGTAAATTAAATTTAGAGTTTTTTCTCTTTTAGATTTTGAAATTAGTTATACAGGTTATACTCTCAATTTTGTAGAGTTTTTCTATTTAAACCCCACACTTCTCTTTGTTCACCCCATATTCTGAGTTCAGTTTAGGTATGTTTTTGTATGTTTTTGAATTGGGTTGTGGTGATTTGTTCTTGATGGGAATGGCCATGTTTGTCTTGGCGTAGCATAAAAATAACTTGCCTCATTAATTATCTTTGCTTTTATTTTTTGTTCATGTGTTCTGATTTCTGATGCAATGTTTTTTAAGTTGCTTCAAATGACTTGACTTTCATTTATAACATAAATTGTTATTGGTTATGTTTGAAACTTTGCCCCCTGTGTTAGAATCTGATTGAGAAATAAATGTTAGAGGAATTGCTCTATGCATGAAATGTCTATTTCCTTTCTTGTTTGTACTTGCATTTGAAAATGTTGATAGTCGATCAAAATTAGAAATGTTATTGGCATTTAAAATTGCTTCAGTCAATGAAATTTGAAAATCCTGTGTAGGTGACACATTCGCCAGAAGGGATGGAGACACTTCGATACTTTTTATTTGATATTTGTAAAGTCAGTGCAGGGTGGAGTATGGAAAACGTATTGGATGAAGAAATAAAAGTGATTAAAAGCACAGTAGGGACTGAAGATCATGTCATATGCGCGTTATCAGGAGGTGTCGATTCCACTGTTGCAGCAACTCTTGTTCATAAGGCAATTGGTGATAGGCTTCATTGTATCTTTGTTGACAATGGTTTATTGAGGTGAGAGAGTGAGCAAAATGGAGAGGTTAACATTTTGTGTATGTTGTAGACTTCATTTGTATATTTCGTGTTTACCTAATAGAAATTTCTTCTTCATGCAGATATAAGGAGAGAGAACGTGTAATGGAAACCTTTGAAAGAGATCTTCATTTGCCTGTTACTTGTGTGGATGCCACTGATCAATTTCTTAGTGAGCTTAAAGGTGTTGTTGATCCTGAGAAGAAAAGGAAAATAATTGGAAAGGAGTTCATTAGCATTTTTGATGCTTTTGCACATGATTTGGAGCAAAAATTAGGGAGGAAACCTTCTTACTTGGTCCAAGGGACTCTGTATCCAGATGTGATTGAATCTTGCCCACCACCTGGAAGTGGAAGGACACACTCCCACACAATCAAGAGCCATCATAATGTTGGTGGGCTTCCCAAGGACATGAAATTGAAGCTCATTGAGCCTCTTAAGCTTCTATTCAAGGATGAGGTTTCAGCTTCTACCTTCCTACTATGTTGCATATAGTATGCATTAATCTTCCTTTGGTAGTGTGCTGATTATTGACTTGTCCATTTTTTCCCCGACACATAAAGGTTCGGCAATTAGGGAGGATCTTGGATGTCCCCCAGGGATTTCTAAAGCGCCATCCATTTCCTGGGCCTGGCCTTGCAGTACGAGTCTTGGGTGATGTAACTACAGGCAATGCCTTGGATGTCCTCCGCCAGGTAAATTTGTTTATCCATGAGTTGAAGTCTTGACCGTCTTGGTTTTCTAATATTTATATGTCACGTTTTTAATTATTATTTCTTTTCAGGTTGATGAGATATTCATACAATCAATCAAAGATGCTGGGTTGTATGATGAAATCTGGCAAGCATTTGCGGTGTTTTTGCCTGTAAGATCAGTTGGGGTTCAGGGCGATCAAAGAACACATTCTCATGTTGTTGCTCTCAGAGCTGTTACAAGTCAAGATGGGATGACAGCTGATTGGTATGCCTTCATCTGTGCTGCATATTCTGTTATTTATTTTCTATTACCTTTATGTTGGTTGTTGGGTATATGCTAAGTAGTTAGGCATGTTAACATCACTTGTTGATGCCATAGGCTCCTTGATAATGTGGCGCCACTTTGAAAATTTCAGGTACTATTTTGAACATAAGTTCCTTGATGATGTATCACGAAAGATCTGCAATAGCGTACGGGGTGTAAACCGAGTAGTTCTAGACATTACGTCAAAGCCTCCCTCCACAATTGAGTGGGAATGATGTCTTGTTCAATCGATGCTTCTGGCCTGCACTTGTAGTGAAGTTAAGTAGTCTTCAGAAAGTTTTGATTGTTTTGAATGGAGATTTGAACGGTAATTCCGTAAGCATTTATATGTAAACATCATGATTATAAATCATATTTCTATATATTTCTTTTTGGTGATGGTTTTGGAAGTCTTGTTCAATGAATTTTGACTTTAGGGGGTAATAATAGATAGCCGTTTTTTATGTCAAAATTAAGCCAGGTAGAGTTGGTGGAATTAGGTCATGCTGAGATCACTTAATGAGTCTAGAATTCAATCCACTATGAATGGGTTTGTCCCAAAAAATTAATTTAGTACGGTTAAATTTCAACTTTGTGCACAATGTTTAGTGGGTGTTGCTCTCATTTCTTGTCTCTACTTTATTGTGTTCATAGTGGGGGGGCCTTTGGAAATTATGAGAGTCCAATGCAGAAATGGGTGCACCAACCTTAGCAATACAGACTCTGAGGAATTGTCTTAGGTTAAAAAGAGATCCTAAGATGGAAGATTGAGCAGATGGTGTAACTAGTCGCATGATCTACATGATAATCTATCATCATTTCTTTGAGAGCGACCACAGAAAATTATAATTATATGCACAGAGAACAGTTGCTCAATTTTGAAAAGAAGACCAGACAGTTCTTTAAGGGTGTTGCTCTCATTTCTTGTATCTACTTTATTGTGTTCATAGTGGGGGGGCTGGGCTGAGTCCAATGCAGAAATGGGTGCACCAACCTTAGCAATACAAACTATGAGGAATTGGAAATTCGATTGAGCAAATGGTGTAACAAGTTGCATGATCCACATGATAATCTATCATCATTTCTTTGAGGGCGACCATTGAAAATTATATGCACAGAGAACAGTTGTTGCCCAACTTTGAAAAGAAAACCAGACAGGCCACTTTGGACTTTGGCTTTTAAATCCACCAAGTAAAAGCAAAAACCTCTTAATACGTTTAATCACAAGAAGAGCTATGATTAACCTCGTCATTTAGGCTGCAGCTCTTGAAGGGTCCCAAGGGTCAGATCTACCATGTCTTGAATTGTGAATTTTAACCCTCATGATTATTTATTATTATCTTTCTTAACAATTTGATTTATATTTTTTTTAAAAGAAAGATGAAATGGGAAGATGAGATTCGAACTCTGGTCTTGAGGGTGAAAAATCAGTATCTAAAATTCTAAACTCCCATTTTTATAAACCGGTTTTCAAAGATGAGTTCTAACCATAGATTTGATACATTGTGAGTGTCAAGTATTTACTAACTTGAGAAATTGTTTTGAAAGATGAGTATGGAATTTTTTTTTACTCACTTATGAAATTGTGATTTGTCTGAACAATGATTCCTTATAGAGAAGAAGCCAAGTATTAGTAAGTGCACCTCTTACGGCAGCTAAGCGGTTGTCATTTTATTTAAGATTAGATGCTCTCTGCCATGTGATAAAAAAGGTCCTTTGTTACAAAATGACAAATACTTTGTTATTTTATGTAAAAAATTGAGTAGCTGCTGAATTTTTATGTTGGTAACTTTGTTTGTCAATTGTCAGCCTTTTCTACTTTATTTATTGTCTACAATATCAAAGTTTTACCTATCTCCCTTCCTTTTTGACCATCCAAATGATGCCAAGCTGTGAGAAAACCCACTCCTGATGACTAAAGTGAAACTTGTAGCCTGGTCTCCTACATTTGCTCAATCTGATGACACGTACCCAGTGCCATTGTGTGAACAAAATCAAGTTGCAGACATGCACAGTTACAGCTCTTATAATTTTCCTCAATTTAAGGACTTTTTGCAGAATCCAATTATGACCGAGAGAACAGACATCTTGAGAGAGAATTCCATAAAACGTGTTACCTCCGTTGCAACTAAATTTTTCTCCTTTAATAAGCATGGCCTCATCTCCCAATTCTTGGTAGGAGTGTTGTTAATAAATAACAGAAAACCTTGAGCGCATTACATTTACATTTACTTTTTTGCCAACTGTAATTTATTCTGAGTCTTTGTGTTGCACAGTTGCCAAATTCCAACCCAATTGGATTATGCCCTTGAGCAATGTTATGTTGGCAAGTACTTGTTTCTGTAATAATCTGTCTGATTTCTTATTGAACTGACAGATTTCAGAGGCCTCCTTGAGTTGTTTTCAAAGTACATCTTACTGAATGTAAGTAATACTGTATCATGAACTCAAAGTTATGGCCTATAGGTCAGGTTTTGTTAGGTACAGAAACACATATCAAAATATTTGAAGAAAATTGTGCATTTAACAAAAGTTTAATTCCTGTTGCTAGACTACTTACCTGCAGGAAAAATCCTCAACAGACTCATATTTCTTACAGCGAAAATCTACAGAACCTTTCAACGTTACATGATTGTACAATGACAGACTTTGAGAGAGCAAATAACCCTCTAAGCATCACTAAGAGAACAAGCATCAACAGCTTCTGGCGATTCGCTGAAGTGCTTGCTGGATTGTCCCTGCTGATGCGACTGTCGACCCCTTGAACTGCAAATTAAGAAAATACCAATGGTCAGTTACTTGTAATAGGCATCCGGGAACTCAAATGTGTCACATGATAAGGAAGGGGCTCATCCCTAATGCCATTTCTCTTAAAGCAAGAAATGATAGATTATATTCATCATGTAACTATAATTTCCTACCCTGGATTTAATAGTGACACAAAGAATCCCATCTGCTGTGGATGATTGAACTGAGTGAGTATCTAATTGGAGACGGCTTGTGGCATCCATGATCTCCAGCAGCACTCCTTCCCTCCAAGGAAATTTCATCTCAATTAGAACATCCTTCTTGTTCATATTCACTGTTATATTATCACTTGAACCGTGCTTTGATATAACATAACTGATTTCTGGCTCCGTTTCATCAATGTCACTGGCCTTTCTCTTGTAAACTAATGGCTTCTTCCCATTACTAATTTTGGTGTTGCAACAGTTGTCAGATGTTCTCTCAATAGTATCTTGGATTTTCCTCTTTATTTTGGCTTCTAAATCTGACGGCTCCTGGCAGGATTCCAACTCTTCAACTCTTTTCTCAAGATCTTTCAAATATTCTATTGCATCATCTAATATGGATACTTTGTCATCCTGTGCAAACAAAGTGGAAAAACATTTTACTTTGCAGATAAGGTCAATAACCAAATATCAGGAAATGGAGTTTACCTACCTTGCTAATCGAGGGGACCATCGATTTTAAAACGCAAAATCTTTCATTTAGTTTTTCCCTTCGCCTTCTCTCAGATAATGCATGATTCATACCAATTTCATCAGCCTCTGGTCTCCAAACTCCATTTCTATTGCTGTTATCTTCCGGGGACTCAAGCACACAATCAACATGCAACCGAGGAACTTCAAACAAAATCTGCTTCAATAATTTTTGCGGGCTTCCACCTCTTTGTTTCCGGCATTTTACAAATCCTCCTCTCTTCCAACTGACGAAGCTAGATTCCTGATGAAAATTTCGAAAGTTCGGCCCCAAAATCAATTGGCGTGAGCCCTTTAAAAGGGCAGAAAGAACACTCTGATACTGCAAATCATTGCCTTGGGGATCTAAAGATGTCAGTTTTTTGCTATTGTGCTCTTTAAGATCATGCAGGCAATGGTCACTTGCCTTTTCAGCCTTAGGACCCAAGAGAACCTTTTCAGGATATACCAAAGTTTGAGATATACAGTCACTGGAATCCATAGAATGATGTACAAAATTACTGAACTCATCATCCATAAATTGCCAGCTTTGCACTTGAGAAGCTCCCCCATTCATCCCTTCAACCATGAATGAATCGTCAGCTGGTTGATTGAGCCCCAAACCATTTGAACTGTTATTAGGTGAAGTCACATTCATTTCTTCACATCCTACAACAGGAATTAATTTGGTGTCCATAACATCATGATCAAGCACAGTGCAGGCAAGATCATTGTCATTTCTTGTGCTTCCTGCACTAGGATTGGTTTTCTTGGAAGCTATGGGATATGGAACCTCCAAGAAAGATGTTTTAACATGCTGAATGAGATCAGGGTCCTCCATAACCTTCAAAAAGAATGTGAAAAGTACATAGTGGATCAGAATTGGAAGAAATATGAACTTCTAATTGAAAATACTGAAGCAGCGTTCTAAAAACCTACCAAATCAGTCACACCCAGCTCAATCACACCTCCCAAAAATGGAAAGCATACCACAGTCTGGAAGGCAAAACAAGAGAAACATATTTAGTTTTGAGAGAGAGATTTTTGTACATTGCTTATGCCCATAATTACAAAATAAAATTGTATTTTCTAAAGGAAAACTTGTATGGACAGTTCAAAGTCTGTTGTGTCTGAAACTGTGACAACATGTACCAGCAAGAATTGTTCTTTGCTTTGGTTGGAACTGTTTCTCTTGACCCTAATGACGCAGGGTTAAGCCAGTTCATGACAAAACATTGTTTTTATTGATTGTGTTAAAACCTCAGCATATAATTTCGTACATTGCTGAGACTCAGGAACTTTTACTTTTAAATATAGGTGGATGAATAAGTATTCGTACCTGAATGGAGGCGCTCTGAGGGTGTCAGTTGTTACAAATCCAGGCATCAAAAGAAAACCAAACAGAGAACAGATGTTTTAGTATCTTCTTAGCAAACTACCCAATTAACATGAACACGAATTCAGTCAATGATACTTCTTATGTAAACCAAGAAACAGCAAGCTACCTTTGCCAGGAGAGAGCGAGTAAACACTTTACTATCAGCATAGTGAGCATTGCATAGCCAGATAGGTTGACCATTTGCTAATGTTCGTCCTGGCAACCTGAAAAAAGTTTGGGGGGAATTCATGTAAGTTATATGAAGATAAGAACACAGAATGAACTTTGGGGTTATCATGTTGTGTCTTTTACATTCGAAGAAAAGTACAGTGCATCACATCTAACAAAAGAGAAATCTCCTCCTTTCAAGCTTTAACTTCTAAAGTAGAATTCATGTAAGTTATATCGCAAATTGTTAATCAATGCATATAATATCAGAAAGGCCTTGAGCTGTTATTGAGTAAGAAGAATTGTGAGAAAAGAATTACCCTTGTCCAACGTTGAAGACGAATGACATGCAAACTAGGTAATACCACTCCGTATCAGCTAGATCTTCGGGTGATAATGATGCCGAAGGCCTTCTAGCTTGTGGACTTGCTTCGCCAGCTGAGAGGGACTCGTAAAGTTCTCTCAATTGTTCACTCCTTTGTAATCCCATTTGGTCAGCATTAAGTTCTATGGCTTGAACTGTCTTTCTTGTCTTGATATCTCCATTGTAGTATCCATCACCCCACTCCAACACCCTGTAAAGTAAACGATACAATCAATAATGTAGACAATGACAATGCCATAAGATCTTAGGAGATTTATATTTCAAACAATGAAAAATGACTATTTTTCCCTCATCCAATACTAATAGAATGTCATAGAAAGCGTGAAACACTTCAATTTTTGTCATCTTAATGTGAAGATTAGTCCAATTACTGAATCATCATCACTCTCATTGGCAGAATTTCCAAATGTTGCTGATAATGCAGGAGCTCATAAGAGTTTTTTGAACCCAAGAGAGGAAGGTTGGGGGACAAACAACCATGCTAAGGTGAAATTTTCCCTTTGAACCCAACACGTGCAGAATCCAGACAGCCACCCAATATAGAAATTCCGGGAATCTTAAGCGCTCCAAGTTACAGAATATTAGAAATTGAAAGAACACAACAACAACAAAAGGTTTTTCTGGGAAATTTCGAATAAAAGTTGACTCTGTTTTCTTCTTTTTTTTTAATGAGAAAATACATAGTTAAAATTCAACTAACCCAAGTTGAGCAAAGATGAAAATATCAGTACCCTGGTTGTCTTGCTGAAATCGACCAGAAGATTGCATAGCTCCATTCGATGCTTCTCACAGCAAGAGCAAGCTGTTTTCTCAGGTTCTCTGGCACCCTGTCCTGGTTCTGAAGCCTAGCAGCCATATTCATGCCAAAAAGCAAGCACCACTCAATCAACCCAGATGTAGATAAAGTCTTGATTTTTCACTTCCCAGCACCAGAACCAAACCTTGGTTTCTGTTCTTTTATTAAAATATTCCCTCAGAAAAGCTAGAAGTGCTGGTGTTTTAGCTCAAATTCATGGAGGTGCTGCTTAACACTGAAAACCCAGATGGGTTTGACTCACAACTGCTCCTGGTTTCTGAACAACAAGGAACTGGGACTCAAAACCAGCAGCATGGTCTTGCTGAAAGAGAGAAGCTCAAGCTGGGAAATTTCAGAGAAAATTTGGCTCTAAAATGCAAAGTATTATTATCAAAATACAAAGCCTGGTTAATCGAGAGAGTAAGGGCCTTCACTGGACCAATAGTAAAGGACTTTCCAGTTTTGTACAGAATCACAACACTCACTTTCATGAAAGAAAGAATAACATAAAAAAGAAAAAAAGAAAAAAAAAAGAAGAAGAAATGAAATAATATGTTATGCTATTTGCAAACTAACAATAAGTTGCTTCAGTTTTTGCTCTAAAAAGAGCTACAAGCTCCCTGTTATAGAAAACCAAGAAGAACAGAGCTCTTTTAATGGTGGCAGCAAGAGGTGGGGGCAACACCAGCACTTTGGAGCTTTGGACACAAACATAAAATACAAATTAAAAGCACCATCACCAATTAATGATCTGGGTTTTTCTGATCAACCCCCCAAAAACTGAAACACTTTGGGCCTACAAACAAGAACCAAAACCAACTTTCCCACACTGGGTTCTCAAATTTTCACCACACAAGAAAAACCAACTCAAAATCTCCAAACTTGTGAAAATGGGAAACAGCTATGAGCAGTAAAGTTACTTTAAACATAAAAGAGGCCTTAATGTAGTGGTGTGTGGATTTCACTTCCACATATTTCTGGAAAAAGCCTCCCAATTTCACTGCAGTAGTTCCATTTATTTGTGAGGAACCAAAAAAAGCTTTATACGAATTAATGGTAGAGTGGCGAAAGAAAGATTCTCTTGGACAAAATAAAATTTTTACCCAAATGTTATGGAAATGCAGAGAGAAAAGAGACGTGATACACCAACACTTGTCACCCAAACAAGTTAAAACAGTCGCTGCTAGCAGTTGTAGTGTGCGCTTAATGGAAGACTACCAAGCAAGTTCGCTAGAGCATATGTGCTCTTCATTCTGAACTTGAGTTCGAATCTCTATTCCGTAATTTAGATTGCATTAAAATAAAATATCGTTTATAAAATAATAAAAAAACTAAGACTAGTTATTGTCTTCCAAACTCTTCGGTTTTAATTGTTAATCTTCATCTATTTTAAGATAGATAAAATATTGTTCACGCTACATCCACACCACTTCAAATGGACCAATGCTAGAGTCTAAAATACAAAAATTTTGATAAAATATCACTATCCAGATAAATTACATAAATTAAATTTATTTATAATATTAATACTTCTTAAATAGAGAAATATGGAAGACATTATGGATTAGAAAATAATTTACTTGTGTCTTATTTTGTAAAGTCTTAAAAAAAATACATATTGTAAGGATGGTGGAGAGATCCAAATTATTGTTCTTGTGAATATTAAATAACACTGTTAGGCTTATAGAGGGGGTGTGTATGAAGCAAATGTTGGTGTATTGATAATTTAATAAATAAATACATTTAAAAATAAAAAACATAAATTAAGGTTGGGGTGGAGTTTGTTTCCACATTTGCATTTTGTTTTCAAACATGTGATGAACCGTGCTGAGCCGGCACAACACGACGGCTTCAAATATTTATCCCTATTTATTTCATAACAAGTCAACTTCTCGGCTTGGCTAAAATGAGAATAAATTAAATTAAATTAAGCTGCATTTTTTTTAAGAAGAAGAAAATGTTTTCTTTTTCCACCCTCTCTTTTCTAAATGGCCCTCCAGAATATAGAGTTTTTGAATAATAGCTTCTTCCTTTTTTTTTTTTCAATCGTAGACAAAATTTGACTTATTCATATCGACACATCCACGTTTAGAATATGAACGATTCAAATAATGACTAACAGTCAATAGAAAAACATTTTCAAATATGAACAATTTGGTATCTCAAATACCATTATTATATGGTATCAAAATTCTCAAATAGTCACGATTATCTCATTATTCAAAGACAAATAGTACGATATAAATAAAGTATCGATATCATGTCAATTTTATCTGATATATGTAATAGTGATATTCGAGATCATTTCCCTGGAAAATTTCGCCTAGCAAGAAGACAAAGCTAGTTGTACAATAAATTACTAGTGATGTAATTGTGACACCAAATCTAAGTTCTTGATTTGATTCCTTGGTATATATTACATTTAGTTGTACAAATTTGTAACATAAACGTACGTTGCCCTCGTTACCTCTACATGCTTTGCCTTTGTTCTGTCAATGAGTTTTCATGTACTCCTTGGTTGTGGCTTCGCTTCACAACTTGCATGCATTATTGAAACTGGCGAAGAATCCCAACACCCTCTTTAATCATCTGCTCTCTGTGTTCTACTGTTGAAATGGTACACCTTTTTTTATCCCAAAATGAAAGTACTTTGGTTTATATATCCATTTGCTTGCCTTTCCAAACGCACGTCAATCTTTTTTTGAATGTTTTTTTCTTAAATGACACATGTTGTTGTGCGTTGAGATGCACTGAGTTTCTTGAATTGTCGGTGGATGGTATGTTCTGATATAGCAATATTACAATCTGAACGTCCAACCGTAAACCCGACCTAAAAACCACTTAATAATGCACGGAAAGATTCAAAATCATTTAAATTGTTAGATCAAATTCTGGGCGTGGGGTTTCACAAGTTCTCACAACAACATCATGCTTCACATCATGGAGATGGAACATCATTAGATTCATTAAGATCCTAAATGCTGCAGATCTAGTTTCCTTTCCCTAATGATTATAAAAAAACATCATCAAGCTCGCTTTACAAAAAGAAGAAGAAAAAAAAACCCCACGACACGAAACACCGGATATATCCTCTTGTCTAATCATGTCAGAACTCAAAACAGAAAATAAATTTAAAATGTAATAAAATACAAAAAAAAAATAATTAATGTGCAAGCCCAGATGCCTAGCTTTCAGCTTTGTTTCTTTCTTATCTTAATTTTCACGTGCATATTTTCGACATTAATGTGCAGACTGCAGAGTTAGGTGATGCACTGAAGATGCATTAATATGATTTTACCTTTGCGACAGCTTTGCAGGAATTAGGTAAATATGCTATTCATCCACCCGAACCTGATAGATTTTATCCAGCTTTTGGTTTGTTTTTTTTATTTTACCCTACCATTATTGATTTTTTTGTTTGTTTTCTTCATAGTTTTTCGATTCAAAGTAGGAGTAGATATCAACAAATAGAGCACTACAAAAAGGTTTCGAACCTCTGCTATTGAAGTATCAGGTAGCTTGTTAGTTAGAGGTGGCAGTTTACCAATCGCACCGTACATCGTGTGATGCAGTAAGTTTCATTTTTGTTGAAAAAAAATCGAACCAATCACCTAACCTAATTCCAAAAACGGATACTATTATGTGTTTTAATTTATTGCAAATGGAATATAGTATGGTTAATTTCCGAAAACAGCATGGCTTGTTTTGGTTAACCACAAATTTCCATTTATTTTAATTTATTCACAACAACAGGTTGTTTGTTTATTTCACTTTGGAATGCTCCCAAAATCCAAATGTCCTTCTGACCGTAAACTGGTAATTAGGTGTCAAGATGCATAATTAAATCATAAAAAGTATAATTATATAACAAATAATGAAAAAAGTACTGAGATCTACATGTGATGTGAGGACCAACTTTCATCTCATAGTTTATCGCACTGCCAAACATGTTATAGTCAATGGTCATTCTCCCAAAGTAATATTGTCATAGATTTTGCCCCCAAAAAAGTATTTAATCCAATTTATGCAAACCACTTTTTTGACCTTTTGCAAGAACAACAGGGCTTACCGCAAATGGTCCATAATATATAATCATTAATCTGCTAAGCATGTGGATTAGTTTATTCTGTCTGGCCCCTCAAGAGGTTTGGTTTAGATGAAGTCATTTTTGTTGGTAGCCCCACGTCATTCTTTTGCCCAATTTCATCACTGCATAAATTTATTTTATATGAATCAACCCAATAATATTAAAGATTAGGCGTGATTTTAGGATTTAACGAGGTCACCGTTTTGCATGCCGAATCTTTTGTATTGGTTGATGAATTAATGAAATGATTTCTTCCCTTAAAATAAAAATAATTAGGTGTGACTTTGAGAGACGACTTAAGGTTAGATAGTTGAAACTCCAACTCTATTGAGGTATTTAAATATATTGACATTTTAGTCTTTTTAATTATATTCAAAGGTTAAACTTCTCACTTCTAAAAATATATAAATATGAAAATTTGAAAAATTCAAATTTAAGACCTCAAAAGTAAAGGTACCGATGCTCTCAACCACCGAAACTAGAACAAACTTTTGTTTCAATTGAGCTTAAAGTTCTTGAAATTACTTTATTCAATCAAATCAACTGCTCTTTTTTATATTTTTTTTTATGTATAGTATTTTCACTATTTTGGTCATATATTATACATCCACCTTCCTTTATATAATAATTTTCTTGAATTTTATAAATATATATGTAACGCAGCCTGCTTGACGCTTGTAGTCACACTTTAAAAAGTAATTAAAAATATAATATATACAATGAACAAAAATTAATCAAGTGCGAGTACTACTAATCCATCATATTCATATAAATTAGAAACGATATACATGTTTAGTGGACTAATTGGATGTTGATTAACAAGTCGGTGAAAGAGTTGCTTTCAGATTAAAGGACTAGCAAACAAACCCTTAATTAAGTAAGCACCTAGCTAGTGGGAATACACATGTAAAGCTAACTTAACACACCTTGTATATATATGCATCAAAGTCTCATCTCCACCAACATAAAAAATTCTACTTGCACACATGAAAATTTCATAAAGCATACCACCATTGATTGAACGTGTCATATAGAGTGTCGCTATTTGTAACACATTTTATTAACAGTTTATTATTTCACATTTTATATATATATATATATATATAGTTTTTTTTTTATTAAGGGACACCCTTTAGGGTCCCATATAATTTTTTTTTCAACAATCCAAATCATCTATTTTTTGAAGTCTACATTCATATATCATCCTTGCAAAGAATTACACAAATAAGAAACCGTTTCAATATCCAATTGT